GGAGCAGTGTCTCACGCCCGTAATCCCAGCACTTTGGGAGGCCGAGGCGGGTGGATCACGAGAGCATTAGTTCGAGACCAGCCTGGCCAACATGGTGAAAACCCGTCTCTACTATAAATGCAAAGATGAGCCGTGCGTGCTGGTGGGCACCCTACTATAAATGCAAAGATGAGCCGTGCGTGCTGGTGGGCACCCTACTATAAATGCAAAGATGAGCCGTGCGTGCTGGTGGGCACCTGCAGTCCCAGCTACTTGGGAGGCTGAGGCAGGAGAATCGCCTGAACCCGGGAGGTGGACGTTGCAGTGAGCCGAGATCACGCCACTGCACTGCAGCCTGGAAACAAAGTAGACTTCGTATCAAAAAAAATAAAAAGGCACGGCAGTAACTACTTTTGGCAAGTTTTTACTAAAAGATAAAAGAAACCAGAAACCTTCATGTTTCTGGTATTTTAAATTACAGCTCATTGGGTAAATGTTAGTTTTTTTCATTCACTACGTGTTTGCATCCAACCCTTAGAGTTTCTGATATGTCAACGAAAATCATGACAGAAGGATCGTTATTTTCCCGTAAGAAGGCTTTGCATGGGTGTGGCACATGCGGTCCTTCCACGGCCCACAGTATGTGCAAGACGGGGACCCCTCCAGGAATGTGCAGTGACTTAGAAAGAATGCCCAAGTGTGAAGGAACCTGCTAGTTTTTCTCTAAGAAATGCAGGAAGTGTGCATGTACACACTCATACACATACCTGTGTGAACCTGCTCATATTAAAATCCAGGGAAAATCACACGGTAAACCAAAGCCGTGGAAACTGTTGCCTACGGTGAGAATCGGCACACACAGGCACAGAACGTGGACCGAGCTGAACGTGTCTGGTCTGTTATGTTCACTTTGCGACCATGGAGGTTTTTACGTATTTATAAAACAGAACATTTTAAAGTACTTTAAAGAGGCAATCCCTGATAGAAAAGGGGGGCTCTTCCCAACTTGTTCTTTGAGACCTGCATTTCTCTAAAAGCAAAACCAGGGGAAGGACTCACAAGAAAACAGCCAACCAGTGTCTTCTCTGTGAATCCAGCTGCAAAAAGGATCGGAATCCAGGGACATATAAAAGAAATGAGACACGGCGACCACGTGGGATTTATGCCAGGAATGCAAGGCTGGCTTAACATCCCAAACCCACCCATTTAATACATTATATTCATAGGTTAAAAAAACAAAAACCTGGCCAAGCTTAGTAGATCACACGTGTAATCCCAGCACTTTGGGACGCCAAGGTGGGCACGTCACAAGGTCAAGAGATCAAGATTATCCTGCCCAACACGGTGAAAGCCCGTCTCTACTAAAAATGCAAAAATTAGCCGGGTGTGGTGGCATGTGCCTGTAATCCCAGCTACTCGGGAGGCTGAGGCAGGAGAATCGCTTGAACCCAGGAGGCGGAGGCTGCAGTGAGCTGAGATCCCACCACTGCTCTCCAGCCATCATGACACAGCGAGACTCTCTCTCAAACAAAAAACAAAACAAAACAAAAAGCCAGCCGGGCGCAGCGGCTCACGCCTGTAATCCCAGCACTTTGGGAAGCTGAGGGGGGCGGATCACCTGAGGTCGGGAGTTTGAGACCAGCCTGGCCAACATGGAGAAACCCCGTCTCTACTGAAAATACAAAAAAAATTTATCCGGGCGTGGTGGTGCACGCCTGTAGTCCCAGCCACTTGGCAGGCTGAGGCAGGAGAATCGCTTGCACCTGGCAGGTAAAGGTTGCAGTGCGCCGAGATCGTGGCACTGCACTCCGGCCTGGGTGACAGAGTGAGACTCGGTCTCACAACAAACAAACAAACCCAAAAAACAAAAACCGGTCATCTCACCGATTTAGAAAAACCATTTGACAAAATTCAACATCCAATCTTGATGAGAACCGTTAACAAACCAGGATACATTTCACAAGTTTTTGCAAGCTGATCGATGGTTTCAACCGAAATCCGCTGCTGGTCAAAGGGGAAAGGCGGGTGGTCTCCCCCAAGGCCAGGAGCAGGACGAGGCAGGTTCTATTCAACACTGCACTGCAGGTTCTAACCACAGTGGCCAGGCAGGAAGAGAAACTAAAGACGAGCACACCGGGAAGGAACTAAAACTGTATCTACTTATAGGTGACAGGGTCTCGTGCCCGCTAAGAAGCCACTACAACTAGTCCGGGCGCAGGGGCTCAGGCCTGCCATCCCAGCACTTTGGGAGGTCGACGTGGGCAGATCACCTGACGTCTGGAGTTCGAGACCAGTCTGACCGACATGGAAAAACCCCGTCTCTACCAAAAATACAAAAAAATTTAGCCGGGCGTGGTGGCGCGTGCCTGTGGTCCCAGCTACTCGGGAGGCTGAGGCAGGAGAACCGCTTGAACCCAGGAGGCGGAGGGTGCAGTGAGCCGAGATCCCGCCACTGCACTCCAGCCCGGGTGACAGAGCGAAAATCCAGCTCAAGAAAAAACCGAAAAAACTATTGGAGCTAATTTTCAGAAGAATTGCAAGATAAAGGATCAATACAGAAAAATGAATTGTATTTCTTCATAGTTCCGGCGGCAATCCTGAAATAAAATTCGGAGAACAATTCCATTTACAACAGCATGAAAAATAAGAAAGCACTTTGGTGTCAATTTAACAGCAGCGTAAGGCATTACACTTTGGAAACCGTCAGACACTTCTGAAGGAAGTTGAAGAAGGTGTGAATAAATGGAAAGAGACCCCAGGCATGCGAGTCGGAGCCTCAATGGTCCTAGCTTGGCAGCAGTTCCTGAAACTGGTCTACGAACTGTCCAGCCTCTAAGAATACGGGGACGCAAGTCCTTGTGGAAACGAACAAGCGACTCCAAACTCTGTATGCAATTGCACGTGATCCCCAAAAGCCGAAGCAGTCCTGAGGAGAAGAAGAAAATGGGAAGACTCACTTTCCCTGCTTCAAAACTTAACACAAGCAACCGCAGTGAAGGCAGTGCGGTGCGGGCAGGGCCAGGACGTGGATGGGTGAAACGGGGTCCAGCTGCACCCCAAACCCTCGACTGTGGCCGACGGACGCCTGGCCTGCGTGCAGACCTCTCCATGGGGGAAGGAGAGTCTCTTCGGCAAGCGCCGCTGAGACCCCTGGATGTCCGCGTGTGGAACCTTGAGGTGGGCCCCGGTGTCACAAAAATTAACTCAAAACGCATCGCAGACAAATGGGAGAGCTGAAACTAGACTCCTCCTAGGAAACAAAAAGAGGAGCTTGGAAAAATACGGAGAACACCTGCACAGGTTATCCAAGAAGGGATTTGTACTCAGAATACATCCACAATGTGGTCGGGTGTCGTGGCTCACGCCCGTAATTCCAGCACTTTGGGAGGCCAAGGGGGGAAGAGCTTGACCTTGAGACCAGCTCGGGGAACACAGTGAGACCGCGTCTGCACAAAAAATACAAAAAGTTAGCCAGGCATGGGGGTGCATGCCTGCAGTCACGGCTACTTGGAGGGCCGAGCTGGGGGAATCACCTGAGCCCTGGGGGTGGAGGCTGCAGTGAGCTGAGATCGTACCATTGCACTCCAGCCTGGGTGACAGACGGAGACCCTGTGTGAAAAGGGAACCCAAAAACAGAATGAGAAAATGGGAGACAATTCAATTTAAAACAGGGTAAGCAGCTGAACACACATCTGTGTCTAGAGAGGTACATGCAGCCAAGAAGTACATGAAAACACAGTCAACATCATGAGACACGAGGGAAGTACACATGAGGACCACTGTGGACACAACAGCACAGTCACCAGGCCACGACGTCCACAGGCGGGGACAGCGAGACCCCAGTGCACGGCCACCGGGCCACGACGTCCACAG